TCCTTGGTACTGAAAGTGCTAGTATACAAAGCAATTAACATTTCTACTGTTTCTGACTGTGATATTGCAAAAATCAGAACTTTAATAAGTTACCGGTGTCTGTCCTTGGTACTGAAAGTATCAGTGCCATGAAAAATTATCAACAATTTGACAGTTAGATTCAAATAGTTCCTATATGTCTTTCCTAAGTACTGGAAGCATTAGAACCATGGACAGCTATTAACAATCCCCCTGTTCCTGACTGTAATACAGTAACAATTAGGACTTAACATATTATCGAACAGTTACCAGTGCCTGTCCTTGGTTCTGAAATTTTGGTGGCCTCATTCAATAAAACTGGGATGTGTGGAATTTTCATTGTTATTCAACACCTCTTGTAAAGAAATGGCCCTCTGACCAATGTCTTTCTACCCGATTGAAAATTGTTCAATTAAGCACTATCATCACTATAGAATACATTTCTTGCTTTTCATTTTCAATCCATGACCACACCCTATGCGATATTATATACATGTATCATTTCTGTTATGCAACATACGGCTTAGTATGGCCATCAATAAAAACAGAACATTAGGCTACACCAATTTGATTAATGCCTTGGTTCTCAAATTCGCCTGTTCCATTTTTGTATGATTTGCAAAAAATCTCACATTCAGGGTACAATGAATGTATCAACCCCAAAATGCTGATATTTTGGTACCAATAGTTGACAAAAATTCTTGTCTACATAGTTGTTAAAGTTTTCCATTTATTCCTGCACTAAATGTTCCATATTCATTGTCTGAAATGTTAACCAGGGTGGTATGTCATCCTGTCACTTTATTTTTTTCTTCAAAAAATTGACGAACCAACAAATAAAATTGTTGTAACAGCAAGTAATTTTTATGGATGACATCAACACGTGCATTGATTTTCACTTGATTTTGGAAAAAAAATTTGTTGCCCTCTGACAGTGGTCAACATGCCAAAAATGGGCAAAGATGTCTGTTGCCATGCCAGAACATGGGTGGCAGGTAAGTATGAAGAGAGACAAGACAAGGCTCCTATTTATTGTTATGTCTTTTATCTTGATGCAGTGAAGTATTTCATTCCTTTTATACATGATGGTGGCTGTTTATATGTGATGTTTCCACTGAATCAAAACCATTTTTAGAATTATTGAAAACATTGTTAAACAAGGTTTATTATGTCAAGATTTGAAAATGTAGGAATCTTGTTTTATTAGCCCTATCGCATTAGATTTGGAGTCTTTAGAGGATGTCATCCATAAAATTTACTTGCTATGGCCTTATCATCAATCCCACCATGTTCCTACATTACTTACTATATCTACACATGTGTTACAGCCAAGTGGGGGTTCTTACCCCAAGAGAGTATAGTCACGCAGTATTCACATACACACATGCTGGGAACATTCATCAACTTTTCACCACACCCAAGGAGGGAGCAGGGCTTTTCCTAGAAAATTTTAGCACGAGGCAGCACATCGCAAGCATGGTGAGGGAGCGAAGCTACCAAGTGGGTTTTTTTATGAGAGTAACACAGTTTGTAATGCTGGAATGCATTGTTATGTACTGTTTTTACATGTCACTGATCATTTTGAGAAAGCAGGGCTCGAAATTCATTTTTGGGAATAGGTGCACTGGTGCACCCAACCTAAAAAATTAAGTGCACAAAAAATTTTTCGGGTGCACCATATGAAAAAAAACCTAATTGCAGGTCTTACTGTACCTCTTCTGAGCTTAAATCTAAAATCAGAGCTAACTTCAAAATCTTTAACAAGTACTTTAACAAAGATTTTATTATTTTTCTGACACTTAGAGACCAAGAATATCCGGTATACTATTATACATTTCTAATGTTAAAAATTCCTACAAAAATATTTGGGTGCACCAGTGCACCCACAGAAAAATATTAGGTGCACAACTCCAATTTTGGGTGCATCCAGTATTTCAGCTTTGAAGACTAAATGTTGTGTAAGTAGCCACTTAGGGTTCAATCTGAAAATTGATATGGGGACACTGACTGGTTACATGAGGGAGCAGCGCCCTTATTCCTGTTTAGAAAAACCCTTAGGGAGTGTGCACTAATACAGTCAAACCTGCCCCAAAAGACCACCCAGGGGACTGAGGTAAAATGGTATTGAACAGGTAGAATTTTTGCAGAAGTCAATTAATGGTTGGGAAAAGAATTCAGGACTGTGAAAAGGTGGTTGAAGAGGAAGCCTATTGGACAAGTTTGATTATACTTTAAATCATGACATGTTTATTTATTTATTTATCTATTTGTTTTTAATCTTATGGGTTCCCATACTGATTTCCAAAGGTTCAGGGTATCATTAAGTTTTCAGTCAATTTTTCAGGAAAAAAATCACTATCAGAAAGTACAGTATTCCCATTGATTGCAACAAACTGAAATACACTGCCAACCCTCTACTGTCTCAAAATTGAGGTGCAGCAAATTCGAATGAATAACAGCACACCGTGCTTGTCTATTTACATTTCAAATGAAACCTCGTTATACAAAAGAACGTAGATAGAAAACTCATTATTTTCTGTTGGAAACGTCCTTTATTACAAAAATCCCCCTATTTATTGTTGAGAGCACCTAAGATTGGCTGACTTATAGATGGAAACTAAGGCATTGGTGATTGGGGCTCTTGGCGCCAAACACTCAACATTAGATCCTACTCAATGTCTCCCCTATGGCCCCATAACCCTTCAAAATGGATGGTTTGGGACATTTAGCGGAAAGGGTTTCATCCCAAATTAGGAGTCATAGCTGTTTTGGAGACATTTGTCGAATACAAGTGGGATAGCGGCCCAAGTAGAAGGAATCTATTGTTTTAGAAGATTAGGGTGAGCATATTCTAAATCCTGTGTTATAGAAATACCAATCTACAGTCTGCATTTTGCAGAGAAATTTTCAACATTGCAAAAGAAAAATTATGCAACCTGCAATTTTGCAATTTCAAAAAAATCAGGCTAGAGGTCTAATAGTGTCGGTACAATATTTTTAAAGAGCTTTAATTTTGTGTTTACTACTGACTGTACGTAATACATTAGTAATTCTAAGTGTATCTTTCAAATTGAAAATGTTTACCAACATGCAATTAATTTTGTATATGCCGTGGGTTTAGGTTCAGACTTACAAATTCTGTATTTGCAGAATGTATTTCTGAATTGCAGAACAAAATTTTCACATTCTGCAATATTGCAGAAGACTGAAAAAAAAGTATTTCTAGCACTGAAATCTGTGTGCTATTTGACCTTCATCTATCCCAGTTAACCTTCAACAGTACATACGACATGTAGCTAGGAGTTTTGATATGCTGTTAGGCCACACCAAGTAAATTTTATGGATGACGTCCTTTGGAGACCCTAAATCTAATGCGAGAGGGCGAAAAAAAACAAGAAGGGCCCTAAAAAACAAGATGCCTAGATAAGGAATATTGCACTGCTGACAGGACCGTCCTGTCTGTTAATAGTTCAAAAAATGGCACTGTTTTGGAGCTATTGACAGGATTTTTTTTCAGTGCCATTTTTTTTTGTTTTTTTCATTTTTGTTTCCATTTTTTAACCAGGCACAGGCTTTCGGCGTTACGGGTTTCACATCAATCTGACAATTTGCGGCACTGTCGTGACTCTTTGGTCATAGTAATGGGGAGCGGAATTTCTTGTTTTTTTTTTTCTAGGAACAGGCCAAAATCAATGCGCGCGCGGACGTCATCCATAAAATTTACTTGGTGTGGCTTTATCTGCACTGCATCATGCATTCAAGTTCAAAATGGCTGCAGTCAGGCAGACAGACATCTAACATGGCTAATTCATTGCCACTGAACATATATCATGAAGTTGATGAGTGCTTTCAGGAAGTCAAGCAGAAGAGAATTTATGTCTCTAATTCTCTTCCAGAATTACAGCTTTCCTCAATTTGTTTTCGACATGCAAGAGAAAATGAAAAATGTTCTAGCTTCATGGCAATTACCAAGTAAAAATGACACATTTTTAACTATCATTGTAAAAACAGCATCATTTGTTTGATGAATGAATGTATGAACACTTCCATTTGCATTGCACATTTTTGCCTTTCATATACTGGAACATTAGGAAGCTTCTTTCTTTTATAATTTGTCCTTTTACATACAATAAAGCAAATTTAAAATGTCATGCAAGTTAAAAATAAGGCCACACCAATTTAATTTGTTGGTTCTCGGATTCGCCTCTTCGTTTTTTTCTGATTTGCAAAAAAAAAAATTGATTCTGGTCCTGAATCAACTGAAAAATGCTCATGTTTTGCCCCCCAACAGTTGAGGAAAGTCCTTTTCTTCCTAGTTGTTACAGTTTTCCCATCTATCATTGCAGTGGTTTGATTAAAAGTTCAAAATTCAATGTTTAAATTTTAACCCAGCCTTTTGTGTTGACTTCATGGCTCATTTTGTAGCATTTAAGCCTATAATAGGATGCCTAGACCTGTTTTAATTTTTTTTTTTCGCCCTGTCGCTTCATATTTTTTCTGAAAAAATCCGAGAACCAACAAATTAAATTGGTGTGGCCTAAGCACCTTAAACCTGAGTGTGTATGAAAGTAGGTACGTCTACAGTAAAGGTAAGTTACCTTATTGGGATGTAACATATATACCTGAGCATATAAGACAAATCTCACACGTACTACATGTACCTCAAACCTACTTTTATAACACTGAAACTGTAGCACATCAGCAGAACGTACTGCACCTATGCAAAACCCCCATTTTTCACATTTTTCGTTGGATTTTGGTCAATGTTGCATTAGAATTTTGCCGGTTGAAGACAATATATTTTCTGACATAACATTTGGAAACTACAGACGGAGTGTTATCCTTATATGCGCAAATATTACCTTATATGAGATGTTCTTCCGAAGTGTTATGCATAACACATTACGGGTTTCGTGCAGGTGCAGTACGTTCTGCTGTCGTGCTTGCAACTATGAACATGCAAAATGTCAAAGTCTTCTTACCTTATTAGAACGTAATGTGACCTTCCCTCCACACCTGGCGCACACGTTCAGCTCGCAGTACACGCAGGTGTGCCCGAAACCCTCCGCAAACTTCGTCTTGTGGCAGATCTCGCAGACCGCGCCGGAGTCCACGTTCCCGTACGATTGCTTCTTCTCCTCCCCCAGTTCCTTCACGGCCTGCTCGTAGTTCGCGAACTCGTCCTTGAGACGCCTGAAACAGCAGGAGACAGCGGACATGAAATAAAACATCACGCTAGCGTTGTTCTTCTCCGGAGGCTGTAGACTGGTCTCCACGAGGAGGATGTTGTTCTTTATCTTGTGTTTCACTTTCGTCTCCATCTTGGTTTCTTCCAGTCGTTCCTGTGAAGCGAGATCAGTTCTGCCTAGTCGGTCAGCACAATTCAGTTCTCTTCAGACGACCAAGAATGTCTAAAAGTCTCAGTCTCAGAGTCTGGGGTTAATCCATTTTCTTCTGGAACCTTTCGTCTAGCTGTATAGTTCAGTTCTGCTCTATATACTCTAGGTCAACACAATTCAGTTCTCTTCAGACCAATATTGTTCCTAGGGATATATCAACTTAAATCAGTTTCGTCTGCTATGTCGTTTCTGTATCTGTACCGGTATAGCCGGTATAACCAACCTTCAACGTAACACACCAGCTTCGCAGGCACGCAGCGCAGTGGCAGCTAGCTATATCACACTGAACGACTTGTTACACTCCATATCTGTACATTTGTGAAGCTAGATCAATTCTGCCAAGTATCCTCTGCATCAACACAATACAGTTCTCCTCAGATCATAATGAAATGTCTAAAAGTTTTGTTCTCAGGGATCAATCCTCGTAAACCAGTTTCTTCTGGAACGTTTTGCCAGTAAAACAGGTTCAGTTCTGCTCAGTATAATCTAGGTCAAGAAAATTCAATTCTCTTCAGTCCACAATGAAGTATTCTTCTTAGGATTCAATCCAGTTAAACTAGTTTGAAGCGGTTCGCTCAGCACAAAGTTCAATCATTATCAGGTCAGGCTGACTCATTTTCTAGAGTAACATTAACTCTTGTTCAATAAGTTCCTGTATGTTGAGTGTAATTCAGCTCAATCTACACGTAAACTGGTCTATAACCAGTCTATACCAGTATCATCCAGTTCAACAATAATCAAAGGTTCACTACAGTAGCTGTACTTCAATAGCCTATGTAATTTCAATTTAGAACAGTTAACGTCTGGAAACAGATTCCAGATTACTTGGGTTCAATATGCTAAATGGAATACTTTAAGTAAGTCACACACATTAACGATGGCTACCATCCAATTAAGGAATAAGATACTATTAGGAGATTATGCAGACTCAAGATATAACTCCTAAAAAGTAGCAAGTGCAGCCAGTGGAAACCTATTAAGCTAATGTTCAATCAACTAGAGTTGAATTGTCACTATCAAGCACAGGTCTTAGAGAAACCTAACGTACAGTTCAGAAACTTAATGCTAGTATTTGTTGTATCATAAAGTTAAATTTGCTTGATTCTAAGACTATGGGCTGTAAAATTGTTCTCTGCTTTGTCCTTTCCACCCTACAATTCCCCTTGTCTCCTAGCAGAATCACCAAAACCCACAGTCAATCAATGAAGATTTAGCTTCTTGAAGTAGAAGATGTATTTCCTTCGTCCACACAGGTGAAAATTCCGGCTCGGCAAAGATCAACGAAGAATTCCAAGTCTACTTCTTATCAGTCCAGTTCCTTCTTTGAGCTCAAGACTGCAAAGAAAATGCAGTCGAAGCAAGGAATTCCGATGCACTGATCCCTGTACTAGTTCCGTTATGCCTCCTGTAGTCGTATCCAATCCACTTACACTCCAGGCAGAGGTAAACAGCAGTGGCGGATGAATTCCACGCTGCTAAGCTATTTCTTACAGTTCAAAAACGAGCGACATAGCTGCGTGTTGGTCCCACCCGACACCTCTGGCGTAACGGTGTCCCACGGACACAGGTGCCGGGAGAATCCCGCGCAATCCCGCCGAGAAAATCAGCAGCCGAAACAACCCCTCTCTTCAGTCACGACTCAAAACGCTTCTGCCAGATGCAATCACAATCTCCAATGATAAAGACAGCTATTTCTGACGCCTCTCTACACTCCAGAAATAATGTAGCCGCTCCTGGATTGGTTGTGTCTTCAACAGTCGTATAAAGCGAATGTTCTTCGCAAGCGGCCAGATTAAGGTGTTCCCCGAATGGTTAGAGCCGAATCATGAATATTGCAGATCGCTCGTCTCGATCAATCCCCGCCTGGAACCTAGGCGTGCCCCGAACTATAACTTGTCCCCCGGGAACTACGGCTAACAAAGCTCACGGCTAATAACATTTCTCTGATAAAATCAGAGCAGGGCGTACCCTACTTACCCCAGGTTACTTAGTTAGAGTTTGAATCCATTACTTTATGTCTATTAAAGAAATGTAATTTTAGAATGTGAAATAACCTAATGAAACATTTAATATATTTGAATTTGTTTTTAAATTACAGGACTATGGTATCAACCTTACACATGTATTGTTAATCCCTTTTTTTCATTAAGACGATACAGCCACGCCCATTACATTTCAATAGTTTCAATTCACAATTATGCGAACTGAATCATGTAAATTATCAACATAAATTAGAACAGTCTAAGAATAAAGTCTGTGACTTGGTACAAATACTAGTAGTTGAAGGGAGTAAATATATATTTTGTAGTCTGATTCAAAATTTCCTCACAACTCACTGTTTATCTTGTTTTCTTGCTTAATTTTTACCTAATATGTCTCAGAACCACAAAAATAACTTGGCATGCTTGCTTGACATCCAGTCATATCAAGCTCAAACTGCTTATGACAGTGGCACAAGAGTGTGAGAAGAGGCACCTATAGGGTTGAACACTGTACTGGATTGCCAAGAAAAAAAATTACCTCAATTCTCTGGATTTTTCTGATAAGAAAACTGCCCATAATCAATCTGACAGATCGCCCGGCAGGAAATTGCGTCAGAAATAGCGAAAATCCACGGGAGACACGGGCTAGTACCCCACCCACTTGCGTATTAATGTCGGGATCATCGACGCACACGATACCTCATGTAGGCAACCGCAGCCCATAAATCTTAGGATTCCGCAGAAAGTTTCCACCCGTGGAGGGTCAATGTTGGTTTAGTGAGACTTTGATGCAGTGTCGGGGCTCGATACACCCACGCACACACACAACATGCAATTTGCAGAATGAATCCACTGTTGCAGAACGATACACAGTAGATACATGCAATTTTGTAGGTTGAAATATGTTCATGGACTTAGTACAACTTCAATCATGTAACTGCTGTATCCTGTTATATTTTCTGTTAGAACCTGACTTCTTCCCTCATGAGTAACCAGCACACAGACTCCAACAAACAAACAAACAAACAAACAAAAAATTAAGTATCAGTTTACAACTTACACAGTATACTAAAGGAACAGAAAAGGGAGAAACAGTGACTTGGGCATTTGAAGAATGTGCAAATGTATTAGACTTTCTCTGCAGTAAAAAAAGTACACATATTTTTTTCATTCTCCTAAAAGATGTATCTAAAATTTCAATTTCGATTTTCGTATACAAAACTTAAAACTTCATGATCACTTTTTGATTATATACATGTTGTATTTTGGTTCAGAAATTTGGCACACTTTTCGAAAGCTTCAACACTAAGTTGGCAGGTTCACCAATTTCAAAAGATCAGCGTCACATGATATATCAACACTAACCGATGACACAAATGTCCAACAGCAATGTTTATATAATAGTGGACACTTAGTAATTGACTATTGACAATCGATAGCCATCAGTCACTAGAGCTTTAATTCAACCTTCGTCAGAATACTAAGGACCCTGGAGGTACTGATTGCAATTCTTCGCCAGAAGGTGCTTCAATAAATGTTCTTTAATAAGGCAGGGGGTGACAAATGATTGGCAGCGATGGAATCGCCCGAGTCACTTACGCTAACCCCCACTTGAGTTATTGCAGTGATTCTACCTGAATTCTCGATAAATTTCAGACAGTCAGGACAGTCTAAGCTTTTCTAAAAGAAAGACAATGTATCTCTAAGATATGCAGGGTTGTAACATCACTAGCAAGCATTGACTTTCAGTCTATCACCTCTTCTTAGTGGCTTCTTAGCGATGGAATCGCCCAAGTCACTTACGCTAACCCCCACTTGAGTTATTGCAGCGATTCTACCTGAATTCTCAATAAATTTCAGACAGTCAGGACAGTCTTAAGCTTTTCAAAAGAAAGACAATGTATCTGCAGTGTTGTAACATCACTAGCAAGCATTGACTTTCAGTCTATCATCTCTTCTTAGTGGCTAAGAGATTTACTGAAAGGTTTTCATGACTCTACTCCAGAGCGGCTAACATTGAACTTGCTAACCAAGAGATTTGAGCATTATCTCTGTTTCCTTCTTCAAGCTTACATTTTTCACTCTCGGCGCCTCTGTTCTAATCCGAATGAAGGTGACTTTGTCCGTGTCAGCGGCTGATTACAGCGAGCTGTTTGAGTTGTTAAGAGGGTCTCTCCGACTTTCCGCGCTCCTCATCAATATCAGACATCTTAGAAGGGCCGGAAATTACCCGGGTATTACCGAGGAGTGCGTCATCCCTGCCCGCACACACAGGAGGAATATCTCCCCCTTCCTCTCTACATAATCCTCTCAGAAATGTCAAAGTGTCCCAAGTTGCGATGAAAGAACGTTTAGTAATCAATAGTTGAAGCAAGCGCAGGTCGTTTTTCACCTGGGCTTCGATGCTAAATGATTTTTTTAGCGATGCTGAACAGCATTATATATTATGCTTGTAAATATTAATGACATTTTGTACAATTCTGTGTTCCCTAAAACTGCGTAATTCAGCCTTTTTACAATTGTATTATTAGGCTGCAATGCTGTTTTAGTATTGTGTCAATTTTCAAATACACCATTTATATATATATCAAATTTCAAACATGAGACTAAAGAATATTTAGTTACAACTGCAGAAAAAGACCAATTCACCACAGTTTGTGTTGTCAGAGTGACATCTGAGATTGATTACAACAATAATCTTCAGTTAATTGCAAGATCTTGCCTAAAGGTAAACTGCAGGTAGCAAGGAAAAAACAAAGAATAAATGCAGTCAATGACATATGACTAATTTCAAACTTTAATGTTGGGTTTG